AGGAGTCCAGGGTGAGCGATCCCAGTCCTTCGTACAAAAGCAGGTCGCTCGAACTAATTCTCCCAACAGCCCTCCCCTCCCCGCCCATCGTACTGGAAAGCCGCGTAAGACAACTTACCAAATCGAGACAAGGCGTTTTGAAGTTCTTGTTTGTCGATATTACCGCTATTGTCGAGATCAAAACCACGAAAACAATTGGTCCAGTCATTAATGTACTGCCACAAGGCCTGAAAAAAATAGATGTTCACACTACCTCTAAAGCAGACCCTTGAACAACCACATCCCCTGATGATAGTTTTGACCTCCGCTAAACGAGAGATGGAAAAACCAACATTCCAGCTCTTCGTCTACAGCAAACACTACTCAAATTACAAGATCTTTCCGGTAATCTGAGAGTGCCTTTCCCCGCTTTTTGCTAACTTCATTAACAGATGCGCCAGCAATTATGAATGCAATAGTGACATTGCACAAAAAAATGTAGGCAGCTGGAACAGGGGAAAAAAGGATTCTTAACAACAGAACCATTAGTCCTGATATTGCAAAAGGACAGAAACTTGGAAAGGAGGCGAAAAACACGATGAACGTGCCTGGAATTCGTTGAAGTTTATTGCTCCGTCACCATTTGAGTCAAACATTCCTGAAATAGAGGGAGATAAGTACAAAGAAAGAGTGAGCAGTGACATTCTGATTCGATAAAAAAAATCAACGAAGTATTAAGAATGTAAATAATAACTACCAACAGACTAACCTATCATTAAGCGACACGTTTCCGGATTAAATGGATTCCAGGTGCCATTAGAGAGGGCACGTTGTAGTTCATCAACGCTTATCTGACCCGATCTGAAACACAAGGGGACTCTACCACGGTGGTAATGGTAATCAGAATAGCAACAAAATTTGCGCTGGAGTCGAACTACTTTCAGCTGTGAGAGTTACTAGAGTGTATAGCTGGTAATTGAGTAGGTCTCACAATTACCCCTCCGTATACACAATGTTAAAAATCTTTATTTGTGGGTACAATATGTCTGCTGATTCTAAGGACGGTAGAGAAGGACGTACGATATCAATGAAGAATGCAAACACGCTGAATTAGGGATTCCGCAATTCTCCATTTTATCGTTCTGTACGCCTTGAAAGCGATAGGTATCTAATCTTTTTTAGCGACTTCACAGATTCCACGTTTTTGCAGACTTAACCATGCATCAAGTTCTTTGGGCAGTCGGCTGTCGGGAATTTTCCTATCAACAATGGAGCGCGACAACCGATAAATCGGCCATAACCTATCTCAAAAACCGCTGGCGCGATAATCCAGTAGTCCATGAAAAATGGAAGCAAACGCCAAAAATGAAAAAGAGGTGTCACAAATGAAAAAATAGGTGGCCGGAAATGAAGGGAAACTAAAGTGGACTGCCGAAAAAATCTACAATGAGGATCTCTGTCTTATGAAAAATTCTGACCAACATACGTCGCATGCTTGGCGCGACGGACGTCGCTCGATGTAACGCTATTAGTCTTATTCGTGCGAGTAATTGGGCGTAACAGGAGGAGGCTGGCTCTGGAAAGGCGACAGCCCTTTCCCCACCAATTGTGTGGGATGGGAGGTGACCCAAATTTGTTGAAAAGTGGCTGGTAAAACCAGTACACCAGGCCTCCTGACATGCCCAAGGTAGCGAACGAGGCTGTGACTTGGGCGCCGTCGAGGTCCTAAAACGCCATTACTAGCGTACTTTTAGAATGGAGGCGCGTAAAGTTTGCGGTAGAGTACTGGTAAAGTTTTACTTAAAGAACAATGAAAACTCAAACTGTGAAGCGTACCTGTCCTTATCCACGGAGGTAAAGATTTGTTGGAGGTTATATGCAGGCGACGGTGCATATGCCATTGCTGAAACAGCTTTTCACAGTTCTAGTCACAGTTTCACAGTGCAAGTTTTATCTTGGTAAATAAGAACTCTTTCTGGAATCAAGTGAAGCACGATATTAGTGAGGAAGAGGGGAACAATAACTAAAATAAGAGCTGTACACATCAGAGATTTGACGGCAACGAAGGTCAAGTTAGAAAAAATAAACAAGAAAACAAGAAGTAAAAAGGCAGCTAGAGCAAGAAGCCGAGAAATGAAAACTTATTTGTGAGTTTTATTGAAAACATGTGGTGAATTGAATAAATTTGTTTAAGAATGTAATCTACATTAATACAAAACATCGTCCAATAACGTGCAATAGAAGGGGGGTGTCTTTACTTTCTTGATGCAAACAATTTTCCTACCAGAAATCTGACAGCAGCAAAAAAGACAGCCAGAGTCATCAAGGAGAAGTCTGAACTAGAAAAAAAGTTACCAAGGTAACCGATAACAGTAATTATGGATCGGACTAATAAGGAAAGATTACAAAGAAAGTGCAAAACAATAAATAATTCCTTTTCTCTTTGATATCATTTATTTCCGGCAACTACGATGAAGGCAATTCGAGACAAGCGGACGGTGAACGGCAGCTGATTGCTTTATGACCCGTAGTTTAGATAGCATCTATCTTATCAGTGTTTGTTCACCGTTTTTCTTGCTGGTAATTTTGTGAAAGCGTCAAATGATTTGGTGTTTCATAGTGAAGCGTATTCGCTACAGGCTTCGTTCTTTAGTAGCTTTTCAGTAGATGTTTCTGCTATCAGTTACCCATAACTTTGACCAAAATCGGGTGACTAAGCAACAAGTTTCGCTTTTACTTTTTTGGCAACTTTCTGGTGTTTCTGCGTAAATCAGTGTGTTATTAATTCCTCATAAATAGTAACAGATCGACAGTATTATTGTTGCTCACCAAGAGTGCGTTCACGCTTTGCGGTCAGCGTTCTGAGCGTGCGGCAGCGTTTGAGGGCGTTTCGTGCGCTAAGAAAAGTATAGCTAGTTACGATTGTAGCATTTGAACGTCCGCTGGAGTCGATACCTATCACCTGCCTCCGCTGAAAGACGGCTAGCTCGATTAGCTTCACGTAAGCTTCCCGAACCGAATGACAATCACTATGGTTGTGCCACCATTTGCTCAATGCGTATTGTTATTGAATTAATTTTTTTCTTTCATGTCATTTTAATGTTTGTAAAGAACGTTGCGAAGAAACATAGCTCATGAGCGATAGAAAAAAGGAGGAAATTACTGATGATTTATTGGTCAAGTGACGAAATGACGTGGAAGTGCGCGCAGTACGGTGGTCACGATGTGTGAGATCGCGTTCCATACCCGCGTGACGACGTCGACGTCAACGTCGACGAAAGCTGCGTAAGCTGCGTAAGTTGCGTAAGCTGCGACTGGTTCGTGAATAATACATACGTATCGATCCAACGAAAGCTGCGTAAGTTGCGTAAGCTGCGTAAGTTGCGTAACCGACGACAGCTAACCGATCGATACGTATCTATTCTTCTCGAAGTTGTCGTCGGTTACGCAACTTACGCAGCTTACGCAAATTAGTGACACTTACGCAACTTACGCAGCTTACGCAACTTACGCAGCTTACGAACTTACGCAACTTACGCAGCTTTCTTTGGATCGATACGTATGTGTTCTTCAGTCGCAACTTACGCAACTTACGCAAAAGACGTCGCACGGTATGAACGCGGCCTTAACATTTCCTAGTACTTTCCTGGCGTTCGCTCAAAATGTTGCCGTACGGTACAACATTGACGCAAAGTATGAACCACTTCTATACACACCTTATCCCTGAGGCGGTGGTGGGCGTGGCGTCTATAGATGGTGTATGATGGATTGTTCTGTCGGGAGTATTCCATTCGAGACAACTGTCATCTTGCTTGTGTTGGACAAAGGCATAATTAGATTTGTCCTAAAATAAAAATTCCTCACCAAAAGAGCAACCGCCGCTATCTTCGAATAGTGTACGCAGCCAACACCTACCGCATCTGAGGGATTTAGTGGCAAATAGTTTGCAAAATGTAACAACCTTGGCAAGATTTCTAATTTGAAGCTGGTCGCTTTTGAGTTTACGTCATTTTCTTTGTGATGTTTTCACTAGTCACTTTGTATTTGTATCAGTTGATTACAGTTTGCTGTAGGCGTTTCATCCAATTAAGATTGAGCGTGGACCAAGAACTTGACTTATGGATAATTACTAATTCAAGAGAATTCAATTTCGAGTATACGGATAAAGATCCTGTAAATCAGAATTAATGCTCAAATACTCTTAATCTAATTCTGAAATTAAATCTTAAATTGGGAAATGAATAAGGAAAAATTTTTTTCATTTGGGGCAGGAGGCTAAAAAATGGAAAAAAACGGAGTTTCCCTTCCAGGAGGATTTGTAGTTTTTTACTGTTACAATTCGTAATTTGAAAGGGATTACAAGATGAAAGCTGGTTTTGGTTAGGAGTGCATTTATTAAATCTTGAATTACCAGAAAAAAAAGAATAAATCAGGTGAATACTTAGCTAACTTTCCTTATTTCTCTTCTCGAATCATACATACTTCTTCCTCGGGTGATCTTTGAAACCTCTACAGTCAGGTGGAGTGGAGTAAACAAGCAGTAGCAAAGCAGAGTTCAGACAGGGTTATTTAAATCTATTCGAGACAACTATGGAAATGGATATAAATCGATGCACTCATCCGCCCAGTGGAAAAAGCCTTTTTTTGTTGCGAAAATGTTCGAATGTGCATATCCAATTCTAGAAGAGTACGAAAACGATTGAATGGGCAAAGGCGGAGAGAAATCTGCGTGAAAGAAGCGTGAGAAAGGAGCAAATGCCATTTGTCACTCGGTCGGGCCGCCCTTTTGTCAGAATTTAATCGAACGCCAGAAGAATCCTCCTTGTGGACAAGGACAATGTTCGCGCGTAAACTCCGGGGGGGGGGTGAGCAACCGTTAGAGAGTCCTTGGGATCCAAAGTTCTAAAGGGCGACCTGGGATTTGAAAAAGTTGTTTTGAAATGGGAAGGACAGCCAAAATAGAGAACCCACTGAGCTATTACACTGCGACACACGCTTTGCGAAAGGATCAGTGACGTTAGACGCAAAGCAGTACTCCCCCCCTAAAGACTTGTGAACATCGAGAATGAGAAAGAAACGACTAAGACAAACAATGAACCCATTTTAGAGAGAACCCGAATCCGCCTTGAGAGTGAGTAAATCAAATCGATCGTTACTGCCATTTGGAACCGACTTATGTTTGAGCAAAAGTCTTTCTGATTGCGCCCGCTATGGCGTTTAGGATTTCTCCAACGAGGAAGGTCTTCTGTGAGTTGCAGAGGAGGTGGCAGCTGTTTGGGTTCTAGGAAGGGGCTGCTTAACCAGGCTGGACTGCGTGCGGCAACGTATAGTTTTTGCCTGATTTCAGAAGGCTATCCTTATGGTTCCGTTGTTGGGAAAACATGTTTTCGAAATAGGAGAACAAATATTTTTAACTACTGTGATTACTGAATATTAGGGAGACAGGCAAGATCGTAAATTGCCGCTTCATCGCGCACGGGAATGGGCGCGACGTTCTTTTTTTAATCTGACAAACTTCCAGCGCTTCCCATCCCCCCCCCTTTCCTCCGACGAGTTTTTCCTGGCTGCGTCAGTCGAGGTAAATGTAAGTGAAGAGGTGAGGTATAGGTAATGGGGTGGATGTAGTTGGGAAAGAATACTTCAAAGATAGTCCTGCGCTCAACCAACGTAGACGTCTTCCCTTGTACAAGAAGTCTGATTCTCAAGATTATACCACTTCGCGGCTTTCATAGTAAGTAACGAAGGTGTTGTGGCTTTCACAAGTGGCAGTTCTGTC